ATTCCATTTGAAAGTTTCTGGTTAAGAAATTCCTTGGTCGATCGTAACAGACCAGGTTGATTGCTGTTGCTTTGTAGTCGTTTGATATTGCTGTGAAGTTCAGGTTTACACAGACCATGAGTTATGAGCCTCCTGCGCCGGCTAAAACTGACTAAGCCCGCCTCTGTCTTGCCACTTAATAGGCATTTGAGCTGGCTCTCATTCTTGCATGAACTTCAAATTAACTATATATAAAAAAGAAAATATCTATATAGATAAAAAATACTAGAGTGATTGACTTTTCACGTTATTCTAACTTCTTAGTAATTACTATAAGAGATTAACGTCGCTCTAGGATCATCAAAGTTTAGTTAACCAAGGGAATGTATGACTTAGATTATGCAATCCCGAATTGCCATCTGGCTGTGTTGATGAGCCTAACAGATGTGTGGAACGAGTAGAAATTTAGTCAGAAGCATCACCGAGCTGACTTGTCGAGTTTTCTTCTTTTTGTAGTCAGTTCAATATCCTATCTTTTTTGAGAGTTTATTGTTAAAGCATAGGTAATTCTTCACTAACTTCTACCTTCATTCCTTATATTTAGCTTAGTACTTAATCTTTCGATTTCTATAAGCTCCTTTATCTTGCGCTTGCCAGCAGACTCATCATATTCAGCAAGATAAACTATTATTTCTTTTTAATTATTATTATTGCTCCACTTTTTGTCAAGTGAAAAAGAGAAATTATCTCAAATCTCCCTGCTATGCTGCCAATTACAAAGTAATCATTCATAATTCTTAGGATCCTTGATTCAGTAATACCTCTTCCATTCAGGTTTCCCCACGTTTTGTCATTTATTTATTCACCACAATGGAGGCTAAGCAAGATCTTATCAAAAGTCACTCCTTGTAAGACCGTAAGCCATTTGGTTCTTTGTATTTCTTTGAAGGAGTGTATTTATTTTCCACTTCCCCACTTTTTGTTATGTGCATCTTCAAGGCATCCTTGAGTCTAGTTTTAAGTCCCTTAGTTGGAGCTTTCTATAGCTTAAATGTATCTATCTCATTTAAATGGATCCTCATTTTTATATAAATTAGTCTATATTCAATGACCACTGCCAGGGGATGCTTCGTAATGCTCTTCTTTTTCACTCCTTTCTCATCAGTTTTCAACAATTTGGGCATGGTCCAACTTGTTTAACGCGTTTTCTCCTGATTGTCGAATAATATCTTATGTTTAGCCATTTATTACTTATTCACCTTTTTACCTTTCGGCTATAGTATAATTTACACTTTTTAGATTTATATTAATATTGTGTTTTTTAATCAAAAGTTGTATAACTGCCAGTAATTTATAAAAAGGCTATTGTCTTTTCTAAAGCCAAATTTCGATAAAATAATTTAAACTTGTCTCTTGACTAGATCCTACCCCGCGACACTTCACTATTCATGTTATCGACTCGCTACCCTCATGTCACGAATTTTTTCCAGACCAAATGTCCATTTGATTTTTAGCATCTGATGTGTTTTTTTCATACAATCTAGTTTTTAGTTCCTTGGAAATTAGGATATTGAATTCATCGCTAACGACATTTTACTTTCACATATATCTTTTGCTTTCATTTCATCATGTCGTCCGTTCCAGTCTTGCTGGACATGTATATGGTCACATAAAAAACTGTTACGTTTATCTTATATCTTGCTCACTACTTGTAGGTTATGTATACACGTTTTGCCATACCACAATTCAACTACATTTAAATTCACTCGCTTGATCTTTCATATAATTATTAACCGTTGCAATTGGGTGCAATTCGTCTGCTGCTCTTCCATGACGCATTCAGACTAGGTTCATGCATTGGATGGAATTTACTTCCTCCATTTAAATAAATATCTTTACTCCGACCACTTTTAGCTGGATGGTAAAACCGGCAGTTTTGCGTCAGTACGCCCCAGTGATGGCCGAAATCTTCAAAATGCCTTCTCTTCTTGATCTGACCGAATCAAACCCTGATATTGACTGGCGACAAATCCTCAGTACTCTTGCCTTACCAAATTGGACTTACTACACTGATGTTGCCCTTGGTAAGCAAGGTAAGCGAGCATCACTCAATCCCTGTTTATCAAATAACGAGTCATCAGCCCCCATTTGCGCCATTGGCCCCGTTGGCTCTACTCCAGTCTCTTCCGTTACTTCTACCAGTATTGAGGCAACGCCAGAGCAAATTTGCACAGCAGTATTGCCAGTATCCAAACGACTTAGCAGCGCTTCTACTGGTCCACCAAGTGGACAGCGCAGTCTTCTCGCTTGTTTCCAAGACTCGGTTGGTAATGAAAACACTTTGCCCATGACCTACACCTCAGAGGCTCACGCCTTAGAATTAGAGGACCTAATTATCTTGGAGCCTTCTAGCTCTTCCTCTGCGACCCAAGCTGTATCCGTCGCTGGCACCACCTCGCCAGCCGATCAATTTCCAGATTCCTCACGCAACAGTTTGACTCCCGGCTTGACCAGAAAGCGCATCACTCTTGAATGCTTCTTTACGCCAGCTACACCACATTTGGCCAAACGCAGACGGGCCAGATCTCAGAATGAGGCAACAGAGATAGAGGAGAAAGACAAGACAGATAATGTGAATGAACCCTCTCCTTGTGTAGCTCTTGACTATATCGTCATCGACTGATGGCAATGATATTTGGGAAATCTCAACCCTTAGCTACCTCCTGGTCCTCGACTTTAACTAGCCGGTTATGCTTCCTTCTTTTTATACTTATTTTTTACTTTGAAAATGATATGGAAATACACATTGAGTTATGAACTATGTCTTTTTCCTGTTATCGCTTTCTTATTTTTTTGGTATTATTTGAGTTGACAAGTAAAGCGAAGCTGTGCAATTCATTCCCGCAGTAATCAGCGAATTTAATGATTATAATCGTTTGCTCTTCATTCACTCGAGGGGAATGAAATTCAAGACTGATTCCTTCTGCTTATTTGAGCTCTTTACCTAAAATGTATTTACATTTATATGTTTTTACATATTCCAGGTGAACGACAACTTGTCTAAGGGCTCACATAACTTTCCACTTTATCTTGGTTCAATTCCATCCCAATATTTTGAAAGCAGGGTGAATCTAAGATATGAAGATCAAGATGGTGTGGCATTCTGTTTGGTCGCAATCTCTTTTAGCTTTTATAGTTTTGGTTCGACCTTACTTTCGTGCCAGGGAGATCTTATGGAACGCACCTGGTCTCGTGTACCTTGTCATAGTATTTGGAATTTCCAACATTGGAGCATTGGCTGATGTCGAATTTGAGGATATAGAGCAGAGGATGCCTATGCACATATCAGTGCTTGGGAATCTTCCTTTCCCTAAGCTTCAAACCCGTGACTCAATTAACCTTTTCCTCATCCCTACCCACATTGTGTTTCATTTTTTGGGGCCCTGTGAGCGGCTTAAGTCAACTGCTGGTGTGAGAATGCACCGCTTCCCTTTTTCCCCATGAATCGCAAAAAAAATTCCTCTCGTCTCTTAAGTTGACATTGCCATCTAATCCTATGATAGTGGGATGATGTCCCTGTGTGTATGTGTTGGTTGGTATCCCTCGTGGTCAAGCCTGTTGTCAGTCACCTCCCTTTCCGACAAATATACCAAAATTACACACGATACTTACATACACAAACTGGCTAGCTCTTTCTCGCCCACCTATACCTTTAGTCTTTTATTTCATATCTTACATCTCACAGGTAAACCCCCTGGGTAAATTTTTTTAGCCATTTTTAATTCTGATTCCTCACTGCAGTTTTCATTTCTTGACTTCCCTTTATTCCTCATGGGCCTCTCCTTGATGATGTCTCTTCGTGTTGTTAAACAGTTGTCCTGGCTCCAAGCATCTTCTTTTTGGTGCATTCGCTGATCTCCAAATTTGCTCAGGCAGTACGCGAAATTATCGCTGACTCTTCTTTCCTCCAATCTCCTGTTCATCAGGTTTCTTTGAAAGGGTGTCCACAGCCTCCCTGATCTTCCCTTTTTGTGTTATCCCCACATGAGGTCAGTTTTTCCGTCACATTCCAATCAATTGTGTGGCCGGTAATGGTGATGTGTTCAGCTATCTCCGATCTTTCCGTATCCATTTTTCTGCGTAGTTACTGGTGTTCTTTAATCCTTGTGCTGTTCGTTCTACCTATCTCTGATTTTTTGATCACATTCCTTGCGGTTTATTATATAAACCCCGGAGCAGTCCATTTTATTGACTTCATGTTGTGTACTTTCCTTCAGGATTACACGAATGTTCAATTTCCCTAGCCGTAGCTTCTGAACCAATTCGCAGAAGTGTAGATATATCCATAATTTTTCCTCTGCTCCCCTTGCTTTCCATTTATAATCTCCTTCCTACCATCTGTTCATCACCATCCATATGTTGCGTTATATTGTTTCTTTTGGATATTCGTTTCCAAGAAACATCTCAGTTAGCTTTCCCAGTACCTCTTTTCAGAACTCAGAATCAGTGAGTTTTAAGTTTCTTATGATCATACTCCAGAATATTCCAATCTTCATCCCATAAGAATGGTCCGACTGGAAGTTAAGAGTTATTCCAACATGAGATTTGTGTGGAAGAGAACGGACGCTTACCGTTCCCGGATGTGGAGGTCATTCGCTCCTGGGAAAATCTCAAGAAAGAACTTTTCTGAAGTAATTCGCATGCTGGAATAATGCTTAACTTCTGGTCGAGCTATACTTATGGGATGAAGATAGGAATACTTCGGAGTATGATCATAAGAAGCTTACGACTCACTGATTCTCAGTTCTCGGAAGAGGAATTGGGAAAACTAACTCAGATGTGTCTTGGAAACGAATATTCAAGAAAAAAAGGGGGCGGCAGAATTTAGGTCAGGAGGCCTGCAAACGGCATCTGGTACCGTTAGTGGAGATGATTACGCTTCACTAAACCCACTTGTGGCGATACATTTAGGCGGCATTGGAGGAAACGGGAGCAGAGGATTGTGTGAATACATTGATGGGCTATATGAAGTGGGGTTGAGAGAAAAAGATGCGGCACTAGAGGATAGAATATGAGGACTAATTCCACAATTATTCAACATAAAAATGGACAGGGGGATTGCCTTTACTTGTTAGTGATAAGTTGTAACTCTGTGCTTACGATGGCGTCTCTCACTGACGATGCAGGCGAAACGTTTTGGAATGTGCCAAGCCAATTGTCCAATGCTGGAAATCACGAATAATATGGCAGAGAATGCAGGACTAGGTACGTTCCGCAAGGTCTCCCTGACTATCCGACCAAGTTGCGTAAACAAGGTCAAACCAAGAC